ACCCAGCCAAGTTCACCCTAACGTCTGAATCCTCAATCAAGGTGCTCTTTGTGTCGTCTTCGTGCACCGCTACCAATAATCATGTGCGATGCCCTTCACACTGCAGTCAGCCGGTAGAAGCGGCTGACAGAGCTGTGTACGGCTTTCGCTCTCCCTGCGTACTCCCCCCCCCCCCCCCCAAACTGCCCCTGCCTCTCTACTTCCCTCATTCCTTTCTCTCCATCTCCCTCTCGTTCTCCCTTCCCTCTATCTCTCACTCTCCCTCCCCTCTCCTTCTCCCTGTACCTCTCCATCTCCCTCTTCTTCTGGCTTTTTTTCTCCCCTCTCCATCTTCCTCTCACTCTTCCTCTCCCTCTCCTTCTCCCTCTCCTTCTCCGTCTCCTTCTCCGTCTCACTTTCTCCCTCTCCCACTCCCCCTTCCCCTTCCCCTTCCTCTCCTTCCCCCTCTCCCTCTCCCTCTCCCTCTCCCTCTCCCTCTTCCCCTCCTCTCCCTCTCCCTCACTCTCTCCCTCTCCCCTCCCTGTCCCTTTCCCTGTCTCTCTCCCTTTTCCTCTCCCTCTCTCCTCCCCTTACCTTCCCCTCCCTCGCCGTCTCCTCCTCATATCTTGATCCCCTTTCGCTCTCCCTTGTGACACAGCCCTGCGCGCCCCACAGCCGGGAAGGGCGAGGCGGCGCCGCGCGTCTCGGCGCGTCAGATCACGCTAGACCTGCTGCGCACGCGCGGTATCACCGGCCTGTATCGGGGCACGGCCGCCACCATGCTCAGGGACGTCTCCTTCAGCTGCGTCTACTTCCCGCTGTTCGCCCACCTGAATGCGCTGGGACCGCGCAAGGGTGACGGCTCAGGTAACTGCGGTGACGACACCGGCTCGCCCGAGTCCGCTGCGGCCGGGTGGGCTCGCCCGAGTCCGCTGCGGCCGGGTGGGCCGGCCCGCCTGAGTCCGCTGCGGCCAAGTGGGCCGGCCCCGCCTGAGTCCGCTGCGGCCGAGTGGGCCGGCCCGCCTGAATCCGCTGTGGCCGAGTGGGCCGGCCCGCCTGAGTCCGCTGCGGCCGAGTGGACCGGCCCGCCTGAATCCGCTGCGGCCGAGTGGGCCGGCCCGTCTGAGTCCGCTGCGGCCGAGTGGGGCCGGCCCACCTGAGTCCGCTGCGGCCGAGTGGGCCGGCCCGCCTGAGTCCGCTGCGGCCGAGTGGGCCGGCCCGCCTGAGTCCGCTGCGGCCGAGTGGGCCGGCCCGCCTGAGTCCGCTGCGGCCGAGTGGGCCGGCCCGCCTGAGTCAACTGCGGCCGAGTGGGCCGGCCCGCCTGAGTCCGCTGCGGCCGAGTTGGCTGGATGCGTCAGGCCACTTCAGTGGCGTCCAGCTCACAAGCTGTTGAAGCGCTGTCGTGATCCGGGCAGTCTTTAACTCGTGCGTCGCAGGATGTAAACACACCTTCAACGCTGTCGGTGAAATAAGACCACATCAGTTTGTCTTCGACATGCGAGATGCGAACACCGAAACACGTTGTGAGTGCGAGCATAGTGTTTTTAATGTCGTAGTGTCATCACATCTTTTTTAATGGTCTTCGTCCTGAAATGCTGATTACCAATGTTTATTTTGAATATTTGTTGGTAATGGTTACTGTGATTACACCAGAGAGCCAACAACACGTCTGGACCTAGATTTACCGGGCCTGTTTAATGAACGCTCACACAGCTTAATTTACTGACAGAATGAATTTGACGCAAGGGATCTTTGCAAGTTAAAAGATGTTCAGGTGTGCGCAATTCAATCCATTGTCTTGCGGGTTGAACGACATGAACTTAATGGCATGTCACATCGGCTCACAATTGGCCTTGGACTCCGAACTTGAAATGTAAACTACAAGCACGAAAAAAACACAGTTTCTTGACCCTCGCCTTCCACCCTATTTGTCGTTTAAAAATGACATATTGTGTGCCCCGAAGGTGGAAGTACATTGCGTGACAAGCTCGCGAAGGGATTAAGCAATAAACGTGAAAACATATATGATTGAGTCAAGAGATACACAGGCTTTTTGCGAGTTCAGCAATGTCTAATTTGCTGTTCTGGTTTACCTTTGAGATGCAGGCCACCAGAGCCACCCTTGCTTGGTTGTCTCCGAAACGCCAAGAACGCTATAGGCCGGTCGCCGACCGTTGCATTACCTCGGTTTTTCTTAAAATGAGACGGTACGATCCGGGCATAATCCAGCTTGATGGAGGGTAATATCTTCGAAGCCTGAAGCGCGAGGTATAGCGTCGGCCCGCCCGCCGGTGGCTTTGTCGAGGAATGGGTCACATGCGTTTATGATTAATGTCTCTGCTTTCCAAGAAGTGTTTGTTCAATGCAACAGGTATGTTGTCGTTTGCCCTCGTGGCTCTGACGGGAGTCCCGATATAGTGTTTCCCCACTGTAATGTGCTTCTTTCTGGTCGTTGCATGCCAGAGCGATCCGTTTCGACAAGTTGCCAGCAGCTGGGGTTACGGGGCACAATAGCTCACGTGTGTGGGCTCTGTCATTTCTGCTTCTCTTCTCGTCGTCGGTTGTTTCTGGGCAGGGGGCGGTGCAGGAGCAGGGTGCTCGCAGGGCGTCTACTGCCTGGTCAGACGGTGGTCTGGTGATCACATAGTCGGTGCCGTCGGGCGACACTGTGTTTCGGCGTTGACGAGGCCTGCGCCGCCAGGACTGTGTGCGAGGCTGTGTCGCGCACACGGGCCCTGTGCTGGCTGGCCAGATGGTGTGGTAATCGGCGGCTTGTATCGCCAAGCTGCGGTACCTGTGTGCTCTGTGCCGCCACGCAAGGTAGGATTTTAGGTAGGGTAGGTAGGATTAGGCGGCGCTGTAGCGCTGACGCGACCTGTGCCGCCAGGCGAGGCGGTGTTCTGGTGTTCATTCCTGTCCGGCTGCGCCGCCGGCTCGCTGTCGGCGCTGGCCGTCAACCCGTTCGATGTGGTGAAGACCCGGCTGCAGGTCATCAACAAGGGCCAGGGCGACGCCGTGTACTCGGGCATCGCCGATGCTTTCGTGTGAGTGGTGCCCTTCCCCCCCCCCCCCCCAGACCGCTATCTAAATAATTGCCGCGTTTTCATTGTCTTAACTCTGCAAAATGCTACGTGCTTCCCCGCCAGCGCTTTATGGATCTATCGTTGCAAGTATTTGGGCACAGTCTTGGTGCCCTCCAGACCCGCTGCCTAAATAAAATGTGTTTTCATTGTCTTAGCTCTGCAAAATGCAGCATGCTTCCCCGCCGTGGCTATGTCGATCTATAATTGTAAGTATTTGGGTACAGCCTCGCTCGCAGGCTCTCCAACGCGTGGTGACCGTCTTTCGTGGCGGCTGTAGACGTTTTGTCCGTGTTTGTCAAGGTTGCGTTGTGCGATAGGATGACATGAGAATAGTTGGGCTGAGGCTGTCGTGGCGCTTGAAGTCATTGGACGCATTTGAAGCGTGGCAGTGCTTGGATTGCAAGCAGGGAGATCTCGCGTGCGATGAGAACAGCCCGCCATTTAAGTGGATACTTGTGACAGTTTTTACTGCCGCCCTTTGTATTCAGTCTGACTGCCGTATGTCGCCCATGGTTGAGCTGCCGGTGGATTGTCGCACAACAGGCGCTTCGATCTGGGGTGAAGTATGACCTCTGTGCTCACGGTCTTCCCCTCCGTTTCCAGCAAGATCATGAAGCAGGAGGGCGTGCGGGCCTTCTTCAAGGGCGGCGCCTGTCGTATGATCGTCATAGCGCCGCTGTTCGGCATCGCCCAGATGGTCTACTACTTCGGCGTGGCCGAGGCACTGTTGGGCTATGAACGCTAGTGGAGGCCTAGTCTCGATTGTCGTTCGCGGGGGTTTGGTGAGGCCGCTACAAGCCGGCGGCGAGCCGCCCCACCCCGGTCCCGGGTGTAGCCGCGTTAACATCCTTAGACACGATGTTGTTTTAAAAATGGTGTGTGTGTCCGTGTGTGTGTATGTGGAGGTGGAAGGCGGCGAGGATGGGTCCTTGCACCGATCCATGAGTGCGCTGGCGTTCGTGTAAAACTACACCTAAGTCAGAAGGCATGGCCCATGGATCGCGTCTTTTTGCCCTGTCCGTAGGTCCCGTTGTTAGTGCTGTGTGCCATTTTCCTTTGACAGCAAAACTTGGTTTTATTTTGTTATATTATTTTTTGGTGCGAAGCTCTAAAACAAGCAATTTTCTTGAACGCGTGGTTTCGTACATGACGCGAATGAATAGTTGACCTCCCTGTCGCAGGGGAACATTGTCAGCGTTAGAGATTTACAATGTCAAAGCATTACTCAGTGAACTTACCTGCCTAACGCTAGTTTTCTCTAATGGTGGGCACTTCATGCCGTGGATAGAGCATCCGTTACTTTGGTGTTCTGGTGCATTAGTTGCTGTGGAACGCCAGTGTTTCTGAGGTCGCAACGTATCATTACGCCCCAGATGTGTGAAATTGTGCTCCAGAGGTAAAACTATGCCATTGATGTATAACATTACGCCCACCTCACAGGAGGCAGACCCCCGCCCCCTCGGCCAGGCTTAGGTTGCTAGTTACACCCCACCCAAGGCCGCCGCGGCCACCTGCTATGCGATTCCCAGGTAGTGCGGTGTCCGTTTGCCTGTGTGTTTGGCTGTTCGATGTGAGAGTAGTCTGTGATGTGGGCGGCGGCGCCAGCGCCAGCCGCTCTGTTCTCGTCGAGATCTGGCTTCCAGCTGTCCCTGTGACGGCGTCGATGGGGAGAGGCCGCCCAGGCTCCGAGTGGCTCCAGACGCGGGCGCTGTGCGCTTGGAAGTCCTCGTGTGCGGCGAATGCTGTCTCGCGAGCGCTGTCGACGTAATCTCGAGACTTCTCGTCTTCGCGGTTCTTGTGGCTATCTTTTTATAGCCACAGCGTTGGTTGTGGTGCTAACGGTCGAGGCGCCGAGAGGTCTCTGAACGCATTTAGTATTTTTTTTCTGGACTCGTACCAGCCACCGGTGCTGATTACTGACGTGTGGCACAGAACAAATGAATGGTGTAATGGTGACACGAAGACGTCGGGACGTCTGATGTTCACCAGTTGTATTAACATTTGCTCAACACTGAAACCAGCCGCCGGATGTACACACGCGTGCAATTAATTTGCTTACGGACCCTCGGTGCGTGGTACCGGGCTCTCCGTGTGCGCCCCAGCAATCACCACCGACCACTTTATCGGAATACAAGCGCCACTAATCGCCGCTCTGCCGTGTTACGTCTCGGTCGGATTCCGTGCGGCACGCTGCCTACGACGGCGGTGCTGGAGAGCCGGTCTCACTGCGGGTCGCCGTAGGTGACCGGGATCGGTACCTGCATGTCACGCAGCACGGTCTCCACGCAGTCCACCAGCCGGTGCATATCCGGCTCGTGCAGGTCGCCGATGTTCCCGATCCGGAAGCAGTCTGCGTCGGTCACCTTGCCCGGGTAGATGACCTGGTCCAGCGCCGACAGCCGGCGGTACAGTTCCGTGAACGAGAAGTTTGCGTGCGTGGGACACAGGAACGACGTTATGATGTAGCAGTCGTCGCCGTCGCGCACCAGCGGCCGGAAGCCCAGCCGGCGCAGGCCGCGCTTCACGATGACGTTGTTGGCGCGGTAGCGGGACGCCTGCGCGGCCACGCCGCCGGCGCTCAGCAGCCCCTGCAGCGCGCAGTCGAACGCCAGCAGGGCGTGCGTGGGCGGCGTGAACCGGAACTGGCCGCTGCGCTCCAGCCCTGCCCACTGATCGAACAGGTCCAGGCTGAGGCTGCGGCTGTTACCTGCGGCCACGGTCAGACTCGGCGTGAGACAACGCGAAAGACGCCCAAACGCGACTTTAGGCAGTAGAGAAGACGGTCAGAGTGGTGTGAGACAACAACGAAAACAGTTAGACGTGTCGTGAGACAACGGGGCAGACGGCAGAGGTCAACCGTGACGCGAGGCAACAGGGAAGACGGCCAAACGTAGCGCAACACAAGATGGTCAAACGTGACGTGAAACAGTAGAAAAGACAGTCAGACACAGCGCGAGATAACAGGGAAGACGGTCAGACGTAGCGCGAGGTAATGGGACAGAGGTCAAACGTGACGTGAGAAAGCGGGGAATGCGCTCAGTTGTGGCGTTAAACAATAGGGAAGACCGTCAGACGCAGCGTAAGAACGCAAATAGAATTATGCGGAATAAAGCACTTAACACAACATCTGCCGGGATTGTCAAACCAACCTTTGGTTTGCTTCAGACGCTCGAGCCGAGCGATGACGAATCCGAAGCCGGGCACGCCCTCGATGCACTTGTTGGCCGAGCTGACCAGGTAGTCGACGCCGGCCGCCTCCAGGTCCAGCGGCACCGCCCCGAACGCGCTCATCGAGTCAACGATGAACGCGGCGCCGGGCTGCAGCTGGCGCACCAGTCGCCCCAGCTCAGCCACAGGGTTGAGCACGCCGCTGCTGGTCTCGCAGTGTACCATAGCAACAGCGGAGAGCGGGCCGGCGGCGAGCAGCGGCGCAGCTGCGGCCGGTGACAGCGCCTGCTCCTCCGACTGGTTGAACGTCTCGCACGCAATGCCAGCCGTGCGGCAGATCTGCTCCATACGCCGGCCGTAGGCGCCGTTGCAGAGGACCAGCATCTGCGGACGGGAGGGTGACGCCGACTGACCCCCGCGGACGGGAGCGTGACGCCGACTGACCCCCGCGGACGGGAGGGTGACGCCGACTGACCCCCGCGGACGGGAGGGTGACGCCGACTGACTCCCGCGGACGGGAGGGTGACGCCGGCTGACCCCTGCGGACGGGAGGGTGACGCCGACTGACCCCCGCGGACGGGAGGGTGACGCCGACTGACCCCCGCGGACGCGAGGGTGACGCCGACCGACCCCCGCGGACGGGAGGGTGACGCCGACTGACCCCCGCGGACGGGAGGGTGACGCCGTCTGACCCCCGCGGACGGGAAGGTGACCCCGACCGACCCCCGCGACGGGAGGGTAACGCCGACTGACCCCCGCGGACGGGAGAGTGACGCCGACTGACCCCCACGGAGCGGAGGGTGACGCCGACTGACCCCCGCGGAACGGAGGGTGACGCCCACTGGCCCCCGCGGACGGGAGGGTGAACCCGACCGGACCCGCGCCCCGCTACAGTGCAACGCCGCCGTTATGCGCGGTCTGTTATAGATCACGCGGTATTGCTGCCGGCACTGGTTTTCCAGCTGATGCAAGCGAGGGTGTGATTTAATGCCCACCAGAGAGCGTTTGAACACCCACCGGAAAATCTTGATTTCACACGGGAGTTTTCCAAACCTAACCAACCCGAACACTGCATAAATTGGTGCGTTTGCAGAAGTCTTCGACCGCAACACTGCGGACAAACGCTACCATAATAAAAGCATCAATGGCATTTGTCTTGACCTTGATTGTTGACCTTGACCATCACTTGAAACAAATGAATGATGCTCAGCACTGGACAGTTTTGCCTCAGGCGTTCTGCCGGTGCGCTTGCTGAGATCATGAGCCTGTCCGGCCCGCGGGCGGTGCCGCCGCCGTCTGACTGCGACCTCCAGGCGGGATCACACATTCTGACCTTGACCTGGGATTTTATGGGGTGACGTCTGACCTTGCCCCCATGGAAGGGTGACACCGTCTGACCTTGACCCTCTGGCGGTGTAACACCGTCTGACCTTCGCTCCCTCGCGGGGTGACACCGTCTGCAGGACCGCTTCGATCGCGTACGTGCCGCTCCCCTGGACCGGGATGGCCGTGAACTGGTCATCCGACACGCCTGCCGGCAAGGAACGGCCAGGTCACCTGAAGCCCACCCTCCACTGGATGGGTCACCTGAGGTCCAAACTCCACTGGACGGACCACCTGAGGCCCATCCTCCACTGGATGGGTCACCTGAGGCTCACCCTCCACTGGATGGGTCACCTGAGGCCCAACCTCCACTGGATGGGTCACCTGAGGCCCAACCCCCACTGGATGGGTCACCTGAGGCCCAACCTCCACTGGATGGGTCACCTGAGGCCCAACCTCCACTGGATGGGTCACCTGAGGCTCACCCTCCGCTGGATGGGTCACCTGAGGCCCAACCTCCACTGGATGGGTCACCTGAGGCCCAACCTCCACTGGATGGGTCACCTGAGGCTCACCCTCCACTGGACGGGTCACCTGAGGCCCAACCTCCACTGGACGGGCCATCTGAGGCCCAACCTCCACTGGATGGGTCACCTGAGGCTCACCCTCCACTGGATGGGTCACTTGAGGCTCACCGTCAACTGGACGGGCCACCTGAGGCCCACCCCCCACTGGATGGGTCACCCGAGGCCCAACCTCCACTGGACGGGCCACCTGAGGCTCATCCTTCACTGGATAGGTGACCTGAGGCTCATCCTCCACAGGACGGGCCACCTGAGGCCCACCCTCCACTGGATGGGTCACCCGAGGCCCACCCTGCACTGGAAGGGCCACCTGAGGCCCACGCCCCACTGGATGGGTGACCTGAGGCCCACCCTCCACTGGACGGACCACCTGAGGCTCACTCTGCACTGGATGGGTCACCCGAGGCCCACCCTCCACCGGACAGCCCAGCCGGCCGCCCCACTGGTCTGTGAACGGAGTAGCAGAGCACAGAGTACATGCTGGCCTGAGCTTTCAAGGGCCGGGCACTCGGATGCAGGGGCGCAGCCAGAGCTTTGGCAACTGGGAAGGGACACAGGACTCACAAATAGACTCCTGGTGGTGGAAGCCTCTCCAAGAAAAAAAGAGCAAATATGGTTCCTGTCATTTCGGGGGATGAGTCTTTATTTCATTTGTTTGTTTTCCTTAGCTAGAACAGAAGCAGGAAACCACCGGAAGATTCAGTATGTTTTTTAACCAATTGAGTATGTATTTTGAATTTAATCAACTGAAGCAACCAGGTGTTAAAGACTGCAAGAAATGAACCGCCGGCGCTAGTGTTCTTCAGAAATATTAGACACTGTGAGCGTGGATTGCAGATCGAAACGGCGCCAAAAATTTGTGTCAACGTGGCGAACCCATGTCTGTCTGGCAATGTCCAGCCTTGGTCCAGAACCGAATAGTGAAAAATTACTTGGCATAGTTTTGAACATGTGCGCACGGAAGTCTTCAAGCAAAAGCCCGACGACCGGCGTTGCAGTCTCCGTAGGCCGCGTAGTGCTCATCTTGCGGCCAGCATTTGGTGACGGCGAACAGGGGAAGAAAATGACGAAGCACCTGAAAGAAGTACCTTTGGACGCTTAAAGACACCAATTCGTACGCCCAGAAGTCAGTCCGAGCGCACATTTGACCAGTGCGATTTTTAGATTAATAATGGAACGGTTTAGCCTTTACAGCACCTCTCCATGCTCAGGAAGTGGCCCTCAGGCCCACACCGACACGGAGCCAACTGTTTGATACTGGCGGTGTGTGGTCGACAAAGAGGCCAGCATTTTAAGGTTCAGCTATGCGGGTCGAGGCCCCGTATTGCGACTCCCGGACAGCGCTTCGAGCCCACAGCTGTCGGTCCTCACGGGCCCGAGGGGCACCTCGAGTCCTAAGGGGGAGGCACGTGTCCCCTGTGCCCCGCTGCCTGCGTCACTGCTCGGGTGCATATCGTGTGCAAACCAGAGGCAGCCCAGGCCACTCCAGGTGTACTCGTGTGGCCTCCACACGAGTGTGTTTGCTACATCGAACTCCAGATGCGTCCTTACATCATCTTGCTGATCTCGGTTGTTTATCTTCTGGTCCCCCTGCCGTTCACCGGACGTGGGCTGTAACCGCGCTTTCCACGGCTCGCAAGCTTGGCGTTTCGCACACAGTTTGAGCCGGATCACAAAGGCGTGGGCATTGACAGTGTCGTCAGAGGTGTCGTCGCGTCGAGCACGGACGAGCATTGGCGGTGTCCTCTTCGGACCGTGCATGACCCCCATATAAGCGAGGGTGCAAAGAGCTCGGTCTCGGAGCACGTGTTTCGCAGCTTTACTAAAAATGCTCGGAGCCCGGTGACCGCCAGTTCAGGGATGTAAAAACTGCACCGTTGCCTGTCGGCAGCCACGGTCTTATTGTTTCGAAGCTGTCCGCCTGTCCCGCCACTGAGTTGCATCTCTCCAACACAGGTCCTCCCCAGACCGTCGGCCGCTCGGGCGCCAGATCCTGATGGCCCCTGTGCCCTTGGCATCGGCATCTGACTGACAGGCCGTGGTCGCCAGCCGGAAGGCACGTGGCGCCGCTGGACCTCGTCACCCCGCGCTCTGACCTAAACTTGAGACGGGGATCCGACGGCGACCGTCGGGTGCAGGCAGCGGCTGTCACCCGGACACGTGCGCCCCGCCGTCGCGTGTGAGCGCCCCACAATAGGTAACAATGTGAGCATGCTGAATGCTGCCGTCAGCAACAAAAACGCGACTCTTTGCAAGCTGTGCCGATTAAACTGTGAGGTCTCTGCGAACGGGCTGGTCGACCATGCGCCATCTTGGACGTTTTAGACCGACTTTATACAACATGTCTTCGCAACACAATCCGGGCTCGTGTCGGTTATCTGCCCCTATAATGAGCTGTTTGCATAGTATCCGTTGGTGTGCTGAATGTTTGCCGGCCTGATCGAGAGTGGGCGCTCCGCGCGACGCTCAGGCCTCAAGCCACTGAAAACAACCGCCGTTCCAGAGCATGGCGGCAATAGGATCCAGGCCTGGAGAACGGGCGGACTGCTCCCGCTGCTGATCGTGCAGGTGATCAGCCCTTTCCACAGCAGTGCCGTCAGGCGACTCTGGCGGCGTAGCAGGTGCAGGCGGGGGGGGGGGGGGTTGAGGCTCACCGGCCAGCTGCAGCAGGCCGCGCCGGATCCGGCGCACCGTGTCGACGAACGCCGTATCCCGCGAGCCGAGGTCGCGAAGCATGGCGCGCCGCACCTCCGGTCGCGTGTTGAGCGGGCCCGGCGTGAACAGGCGCTTGTCTGCCGAACAGGGGCACAACGCACTGGCACGTGCCTGAGGCCGGCATGGGTTTGACCGAAGCTGCGCCGGGCACACCGCGACACAGCTGGCTCGCAAGTACATCAGCTGAACCGGCCCAGGCCACGCCGCACCGACGCCTGCTTCACCGGACCGGGAGAGAACACGGGAGGGCCGCTGAGTCGTGACGGAGTCGGTGTGAGCCGGGCTTCCGACTGTCACCAGTCATCGAGCCTTACATGCGTGCGAAGGCCCAGCACAGGCTCCAGAGCGCGTCAGTGTCGCAGGAGGCGGGCCGGACGGGCCGCTGGCTCACCTGGACGTGACGGAGTCGGTGTGGGCCGGGCTTCCGACTGTCACCCGTCATCGAGCCTCACATGCGTGCGAAGGGCCAGCTCAGGCTCCAGAGCGCGTCAGTGTCGCAGGAGGCGGGCCGGACGGGCCGCTGGCTCACCTGGACGGGCAGCGGTGCCGTTGACGAGCGGCTCCTGGTCGTCCGTCATGGTGCCGTGACCGCGGTGGTGCCGCCGCCGACCGAAACACTCGACTGCAGGCCGATTGCTGGCCCAGCAGGCCACGCGTACCGTCCACCAGACACGTGAGGCTCGTTTATTTATTCACCATGGACAGACTGGTGCGAGGCGATGAGGGAGTGATGCTGTGCGGATGGCGCACAAACAGGGCGACGATTCCGGTGAGACTGGACAGGCAAGCTGTCGTCTACCTGCAGGAACACGGAGCTCGGCAGCAGCTGTGCCGTCAGCTCCCAGAGACCGGTGCCGTCCGACCGCCGCCCTCTTGCCCGGCCGCCGCGCCTCGAGCCCACGTGCTGTCCGGCCGCCACGCCCCGAGACCACGTGCTGTCCGGCAACCGCGCCCCAAGCCCACGCACTGTCTGGCCGCCGCGCCCCGACCCCGCGCACTGCCCAGCCGCCGCACCCCAAGCCTACGTGCTGTCCGGCCGCCGCCCCACGCGCCCACGAGGCCCTGCTGCCTCACATCGATTGTGCAGAGCGCAGCTGGCGACGCGCGCCGTGGATGGCGCATGCGCCCATTGCCAGCGCAGCTGAGCGCAGTCATACAGCTGAATGCAGTCAAGGCTGCTAAAGAAGGCTACGCAGACGTGACGTCAGCACGGGACTAATATTTGGTAGCCCGTAGTATGGTTTTTGGTTGATACTACGCAAAAGTCGATACATATTAGCAACATGTTTACTGACGGAGATTTCATGAATTAACTGGGTAGCAAACCTGTTCAACATCTCAATTTAAATGTTACGTGAGTAGACACTGTACGTTTTGTGTTCAAAATCCTCCAACGGTAAACCAATACTACGATCTACTTCCAAAAATAAATCTTACTAAACAACGTTTTTCTAAGTTGTAGATTTACACAGAGCGTTTCTAGGCACTTCCAATCAGAGTTCTTCGGGATAAATCACTGGTGAATGGGTAAACCATCTGTCTGTCATTGCCATGCTGGGAACGCATTTCAGCAACAATTCTGGCGCTCTGTTGCAAAAAAAGTCATTTCCCAGCTGGAAATATTTCATTGAATGCGCTGGGTCGAAAAAATTCGGCTTTTGGACATCTTTATGCTTAAACCATCCCGCAAAGGACAGCATTTTCTCGCCGCCATAGCGTTGGTGTCACATGACTTAGTCCCATGATAACGTCACAGCGTCGCTACCCAGAATGCAGTAATGCCGGGGCTTCGATGCAGCCTCGGTGATGGCCGTGGGTGTGCGGGTGGAGGCGCGTGGCGTGGTCGATCCCTCGCCGCACTCGCGTACACACAGCATAGTCGTCCGTGTTATGAAACCAACCGAAGTGTGAGAAAAAAACGAGCTAGTCGGAGAGCCCCCATTTGTCGGAGTTTCTGAGGTTACATTATTGTGCTCTGTTAGTGTGAGCATGATCCATTGCGCGCGTAGGTATGCATGAGCTTTAACCAATGCAGTAGGTTCGATTGTGAACTACAAAACATCCTGGTTGATTATGAAATTTTTGAGCGCTGTTTCATTGCAGATGCAACTTAATATGATAAACTCAAAGCTAAAGGTGGCCACGTCCAACTGTGATTTCTAAAGAATATGCATAAAGAATATGCAGAGAAACGCACAATATGCAAAGAATGTACCATACCGTGTCATTGCAAAGCATCGAATAATCTAAACTTTGTTGTTTTGTATAGGCTCCTTGTCGTATTTTCCCTCCTAAATCTCAACTTTAAGCACCGAGAAATGTTTTCAAAATCAAAATGATCTTAAAGCTCTCAGTATGATGAATCACCAGTTGTTATCTGTGGGGCTTGGTCATACATGATCGAAGCCGCTTTCCTGCTCTTGCGTAGGACGTTTGAGGCTCTCGCTCGTAACGCCATCAGTCGGACAATATCCGAAGCTTACACTACAGCCTTCGACTGTCGCGGTCTGCATATGGGTTCTGATGTGCTAGCGCCAACAGATTAACTTGATGGCAGGGGCGTGACTTTATATGCTCCTGGGGTGCCTGAACTCCCCAGTGCCGCCTTCAACCCCCACGCCACCCCAGTGGTCCTCTGAGCCCCTCAAGACATGAGCGGAGGGAATATTGGGCCAAATACATACAGAGCAAGCATCTCAACTTTTGGTGTATGAGATAGTAGGTACTTCAACACACCACTTTTAGTGCCATGTTAATTTCGTACCAAATTAACCGTCGTATAATAAGTAAGTCATTCTGTATGTGCCTAATGTTTTCGTCATGCCAACTCTTTCAGATGTTAACCAGTCTGGCAATGTTTGATAACTTTTGCAAATGTTAACACCTGCGTTCAAATGAAGAACAATGAACTGCAATATGCGGCAGCTTGTAAAATTTTAGGGTTCCCCAGATAAAAGTCAGCGCATGCTTTCCCAAACAGTGGCAATTGCATTTGTCGCACAATGCTAGCTGTGGTGGTTAAGCAACGCGATCGGTGACAGCGGTAGTCATCAGTGATCACTCACTTAAGTTTACTTAGATGCTTTTCTGAAGGTGGTCTCGGCGTGCACTGATCCTCGACAGCACCAGCAAACATAGTTAAAAGACTGGATTCCGGTTGACCCCAGCGTTCATTACACTGAATAATTTGAGATGATGCATGAAACCGACGATGCATTTTTGAAGCTGTTCTTACCATGCAATAGATACCAAACATCGAGCAAAACATGAGCGTAGTGATTTCCAGTCAATTTGACCAGTGTCTGAAGCGTGTCGCTTGGCAAAGCTGAAGGCGACACGAGAAGCTGCACTGCCTACTGTCGAATATCAGACGGCTGCATGAACCAGGCATCCTATCTCACTAACAATGCGGCGTGTGGCAAGTCGTGCGATCGTGGCTAAAATTACCTACTTTGGCCAGATGGTGACCGATCGATGGCACACCAGCCTGACAGCCTTTTGAGCTGTAGTTTCTGCAGTTAAGGGGGTCTTCCCACACAACATCCTTCGAAAGCAGTTGGTTAAGCCTTTCGGTGTTGACAAGGCATTGGACTGAAACGAGAGTTGTCACTTTGGAAGTTCGGTTGGGTGGCTCAGCCGGTAAGGTCAGTCTAGCCTACCACAGTACCCGCTTTCTCCCCGGATTACGGCCACTTTGGGTTACGTCCCAGATGAAAAAGAGTGTGAGCACTTATCTCAACAAATTTGCCCGATAAAAGAACTATATACGGAAGAATGGCATCCCATTTCAAGTCCATCTAAAACTGCATCTTTGCGAGAAGCTAAGCATTGGGCGTAATCCACAGAAACGTCTTACCAAGCCGGTCCGATATAGTCACTTGAATTAGGTCTCACTTGTCATGCGTGGGAGGTGGTTCATGGAAGATGGAAAGTGGTGTTAACAGAGAGCCGCGAAGAGACGGTTCTGTGCGGGTCAGACCACGCCATGCCCGACGCACGCAAACTAGTGAAGAGTGTGCGCATGACGCGTTTTCCGGGTAGATGCCACGGGAATGCAGCATGCGCACTGCCAGGAAGTACCTGTAACTAGAAGTAAAACTGAACTTGCACGATCTCAACAGGCATGCCGATAACTAGAACAGAGTGGGTACAAGCTGTTGACCGGGCGCGTCACTGGAGTGGCCGCAGTAATAAATAGCGCGTTGGGCGCTTTCACACGTGTCGTTGAGGCGATCAGGTATGAAGCTGACAAAGGCAAGAGAGGCCTCGCGCTCGTGATGTTTCGACCTTCTGAGTTGGGAGCTTGCTGATGATATTCGATCTTCAGTTTGCAAAGAGTAACTGCGTAAGGGACGATATCAAGTAAGCAATAGTCACATTGAGAAATTTCGACGTTTTAAAGCTATGGTCCGTCCGTAAGCTATTTAAAGCTATGGTTCGACGTTTTAAAGTCATGGTCCGGCTTCTACGCAAAGACCAGTTAACACCACGCCCAACACCGTGCCAACTCTGGAACACACCACGCACAATACGGCGACTTCATTCTGCAACACTTTACTCGTGATACAATCAGGTGATAGATTACTGCCGAACCGTGCTTTAAACCGTGGCCGCTTTCACACCGCATTAATATTCGACCCACCGCTCAATGACTGCCAAGAAGGAAATTCTTATTCTGCAAATGCGGCGATTGAAGCTTCTATCTTCTGATCTCCAGTCGTGTGAGCGTAGCTGTGCTAAAAGATCCTTCTTTTCCGTGAGGGCGAGTACCCGGAGCACTGAGTGGGGCTCCCCGCCTGTAAAGCACCTTCTCGGTTGAAGAAATGTCAGGCAGACGCATATACATAAAAAGATCGAGCACGTGCGATGTTGTTTTACGACGACCCTGGCCGATCAGGCCATTAGAGAGATACATCATATCTCATAGGTCCTTTCCCTGGCGCGGAAGGCCTTCTGATACGCGCAATTCAACCTGGGCAAGAGCCCTCATTGACGCAATACCATCCCTGATCGCCGCTGGTGGTCAAATAGCTGGCACATGGATAATAATTGGATACACAGATAACTGGCACATAGATAATTGGCACACGGACTCAAGTTCGATTTAACGGGTCCACGCTGGAATTGGGTTAGAAGGATCACCGTTCGGTACTAACAGGGTCCTGACTGGAACAGGACCCTGCGATTGCCTCGGTATGATCCCTCATCACAAGTTTTCATGTTTCCCTTCATTGTCAAAGGGCCTGACCAACGCAAGAGGCCCTCTGTCAAGCGGGGTCCCGTCCCCGTCCCTGTCAGCAAATCGTTCCCTCACTGACTCGAAGCCCGTTGTTTGTACAGAATAACCTGTTAGACACTGGGTATCATTGAGCAATACGGGAGCCCCGGCCAACGTAAATCGTGGGCCCGGCATAGCCGCTGCTTAGGAAATGGGCGCCTAGACCTCAGGCCAACACAAAGCCGGCTTTTCGTTGTTGGTGATCTCCGGCCGAAATAGAGAAACGCTCTGTCCCAGGGGTCACAACGACACTGGCTCAAGAACATTCCAGCGCGTCGTTGGGTTACGTTGCAGGATCGAATGCACGGGCTAACAAGCTGAGCGTAACGAGTGGCTCACACACAACGTCGGTACGGTGGCAATTGGGCTATTCTAGCTATAGCAGAAAATGTCGCTAGGTGCAAGCAATTGGAGAGATTGATGTTGGCATGTGACAGACAGGCGAGAGAGCGACAGTAACAGGTAGCAGACAGGCAAGAGATCGGTGGTGGCAGGTAATAGACAGGCGAGAGATCGGCAGTAACAGGTAGCAGACAGGCAAGAGATCGGTGGTGGCGGGTAATAGACAGGCGAGAGATCGGCAGTAACAGGTAGCAGACAGGCAAGAGATCGGTGGTGGCAGGTAATAGACAGGCGAGAGATCGGCAGTAACAGGTAGCAGACAGACAAGAGATCGGCGGTGGCAGGTAACTGACAAGCGAGAGATCTGCAGTAAGAGGCAACAGACAGACAAGAGATC